GCTTGCCTACCAAAGGGTTGAGCTGAATCTAGCACTTCATTCAAGCACACCCGATGCCACGACGAGGGACGAGGCCCCTTTGATGACTTACGGTTTGGTTTGTGCTGGCGCGCATGGAGGGCTAGATTTAGCCCCGAACGCCGCGTCTCCTCCGCGGAGGTCGTCAGAGGCCATATCCTTTATTCACATGCACCTGCGCTTTACCATCGGAGGTCGATAACGGCTAACAGCGAGACGAGCCCTATAGTGTACGGAGGGGCTTTTGGGGGAATGCCCCGCTGGCCCGACGCGGCGGTGTAAGGGTGCGCGGCAGCGTGGGACAGGACGGCGCTGGAACGCGGGGAATGGCGGGAGGACACGCAGCCACCCTGCCCGTCGTCACCCTCTGCCCCCCTGCCCCGCCGCCGCCCCCTCTCCGACACGCCTCGTCACGCACATGAGCCAAGCCGCGACCTGCGGGGCCGACCTGTGCCGACCCCCGGACCGGCGGTCCCGCTCCGCAGCGCGACCTTTGACCTCGACACTCAAGGACCACCACCACGACGACGACAGACCCCACCCCCTCCTCGCCGACGCCACGAAGGCCGAGCGACCATGTATCGACTTGCTCGGCGAATTAGAATATGCACCGCGATCAGAGTGTGCAACCGATCGAGAGGATAAGAAATAATATGCTGGAAACGTGTCAGCGCGGGGTAATTATTTGGCAACGAGAAAACTGCTCAGCATAAACCCGAAAAACAAAAAACTTTGTTACCCTTTTTGGGCATAATATTTTAGATTTTAATATTACACATTAAACGCCCTTCTGGTTATATGCTGTACCGCATGCAGATGTGCAGACGAGTTACACACTCGGGGCCATAAGGCGCCGTACGGACAGTGGGTAGGCAAGCCCGCCCGCACGCCTGCATGCGGTACAGTATAACCGGAAGGGGGCGCGGCTGAAACCTACCTTGTAGTACTTGGACCAAATTGTAAAAAATTGTCCGTCGCCAAACTCATTTTTTTTCTGCCATGTTTTGTCATTGTGGTTGCCTTCCCTCACAGTACCACAGAGGAAATGAATGAGTATCCCGCTCCTCCATAAGCAAAAGCGTGCGGGCGCTGACTGACCACATCCGGAGGTTTAACCGAGGCACGTGCGGCCGAGAGGGTGGTTATCTCAGCGCAGAGCGGGACGGGGCGGCGGCGGCCTCTGCCTTGGCCTCTGCCGTGCGGCCGGCTCGTATCGCGCAGGGCCTGGCCGTTGGGCACGGCAGGGGGTCTGTGAGCGTCCTCATAAGCGTACCTGAAGACAAAGTGCAGGCCCCTGCGCCCTGCGTGACACTCCTCGGCGCGCCGCCCCGCGGCCCCGCCCCCCGTCTTACCGATAGACCAGGGGGAGGGTGGGGGTTGGCGGGCGAGAGTGGAACCGGTTCGGTCCGGATCGAGGCGGTGCCAACCGACGCTAGGTCCGTGGCGGCCGTACCAGTACAGAGGCCTCCTTCGCCTCGGCGGGGTGCGCGCCGCAGCCGGGGCCTCGGCCTCGGCCACCCCTTCCTCACCGACAGCCTTTGGTGTCCAGCTCCAGACGTGACCTCCTCGCCCCCTTCCCCATAGCCCTCCCCAAACCACTGCCCCCACCCCAGAGGGGGGCAACCTCGGGCCTGGCAGGGGTGGTTGGGTACCCCCTACCCCACACGGGGCTCCAGGGGGCACGGGCCTAATGCAAAAGGGCCAGGGCCACTAGGGCCGCTGAGGGAGAGGTGGGGAGGGGGCTGGCCCGGCAGCATTTAAAAGTCAAAGCCGGAGCAGCCGAGCTGCCGAGCAGCCACCTGCAGGCCCCGCAGCTCAGGGTCAGCCCAGCCCCCGGCCTCCGGCCACCCCTCGTTCTGCACGGGCCTAAGGAAGGGCCTACACCGCCCATAGCTCAACCTTCGTAAGAAAAACAAGCTGCGTAATGAACCTCGAGCCTGCTACCGCCAGCTACAACCGGCTACCACTGGCTACCGCAAGCTTCTGCCAGACGCGGCCTGCTACCGGTGGTTATTTCTAGCCCCATGCCTGCTGTCGCCAGATTCGCGAGGTTACATCTAGTTTTTGCCAGGGCGTCCCTCAACCAGATTTAACCGGTGTGTGTGTACTCGCCCATTGCCAAGCGCGGGGTGACACGGAAAATAATGCCAACAGTCTGAAAGGCTTTCCGTTTTGTGATTCATGATTCATAGTGGGGGTTGTAATTTGTCTCTTTCCCGTCCGTGTTCCGTCTATGAGCCTAACAGGAAAACCGAGAGGTGTCTTCGGAAGTGCGTGTTGATCGATTCACATTTCCAACAGTGTAATGCGGGGGTGGTGTGTAGCACTTGCATGCGGCAAGCTGAATGAAAGCGAGAGCCACAACAACAGCCGGGGCATTTGGCATCCCTGCCCGCCTCCCTCCGGCCTCTGCTGCTGGCTTGCCTCTGGCACTGACCTGCCCCCGCCCCCTCGTCGCCACACCCCGCCACTTCGCGGTGGGCGTGAACGTGAACTTGGCCGAACCGCGCCGCGCCACCGCCCCCTCCCACCAACCCTCTCCAACACACACACACACACTTACAGCACAGCGATCAGGAGTCGCGAGGCACTACACCGCAGGCAGCCTCGGGCCTGTCGGAGCTCAAAGGAGCCTGTCGGGCACCCCACGCCAGCAGGAGGAGGCTTCGTCTTTACGGGGAGGAGCCCCGCGAAGCCGCGATGTCGATGACGGGGTGGCTTCGCGGTAGAGCTCGCGTGATCCCCGGCTGCCCGTCATGGACGCCCCGGGGCCTGCGGTTCCGCCGTTCTGCCAGCGCCCTTCTCGGTACGGCGCCGGAGGGGGTAGGAAGGGCAGGGCGGGGCATGGCAGTGGAACGGGGATCATGTACAGAACCGAAACCCGTTCTAACCGGCGGGGCGCAACGTCCTCGTGGGATGGGGCGGAGGGGCCGCCGCGCGGAGCCTATACAGGGGGGCGGACAACAGAGTTCACCCCTCCTCACCCTCTGCGGCGCTGCGCTCGCCACCACATCCACCTCCCCCACCTCCGCAACACTACCCTGCCCCAGCCACCCTCCCGCTACGCCCCTGTCCCGGGGAGGTCACAAGGAGGCCATACGACCTTCGCCTGCTGGGTAGGCCTACAGCCAAAGCTCCACCGCCTCGCCTCGCCTACCTCTCGCCGCCCCGCCCCTACCCACCTCATCGACACGCCCTTGCCCCATCCTACCAAAAGCAGGCAGCACAGCTGAGCGGACGGGCCCTGATAGCCCTGCTGAGCAACGAGCATCAGCGGACCTCTCCGCCTTGCGGTCCGGTTCGCTTCGGAGGACTGCAGCTGACAGCGCGGAATAGATTGGAGGAGGGGGGGGGGGCGAGCCAAGTCTAACTGCCGGACAGCCATTAGAGTGAACGGTGGAACAACTGGGGGTAAAAGACTGAACTGTCAGACTGCCACCCCTTTAGTTGGAGGCCGCCATGTTCGTTGAGCGATGCGGGTCAGGACTCCCCGGATGGACAGGGCGTAGGCAACCCATCGTACTCGCGTGCATGATGGGTGGCCCAATCGACGCGAGGATATTTCCTACCTTCAAAATCGAAGAACTACGCCAACTCGCCAAAACCGCCGTTATTTTTAGCTGTGTTATTGACTGGTAACGCATTTATTGAGGCATGATTCGAATGTATCGAAAAGGAAGTATTTCCAATTCAAATGTGCGCGCCAATCTGAGATGTCCTGTGAGGTCCTGCGCAGCGCATGCCCGGTGGCGCCCTCTCTACGCGGATGCCGGCACTCGAGAAGGGGGCGTTTTGGCGCACAGGGTATTCCCGGCGATACTCGCCGTCGCCGCCCTGGAGAGGAGAAGGGGCCGAGCCGAGCCGAGCCGAGGGCCACTAGACGCGGTCGGGCGTGCGTGTCGGGCTTGACTTATTTGCTAATGCCGCGTTTTCAGAAAACGCTTGCCCCGGGGGAAAGACAGCAGCAGTAATGTTAGTGTTCTGGCTAAGCAAACTGACTCACGAGACTACAAAATTACTTACGTAGCGACCGCTGGTATAAAGCGCAAGCTCAGTTCTCCCATTGTCGCGTGAGTCTTCTAAAGAGTCTCAAAAAGAAAAAGAAAAAAAAAAACTACAGGCACCACATATTTTTGTGTTAAAATATTCTTGAAAATTTTTAAGCAGCATTTGTGTTAGGTACTTTTACATGTCTCCTGTCACTCAAGCACATCATGCCTGACAAGAAGGTCCGCGAGACGGTGGCGGGGTTCACATGTCAGCAAGTATGGATTTAAAGCTCAAAGATTTTTAAAGCATGTAATTGACCCTTGAGTGTGTTCCCAAAAATCTATGGATTAGTCGACTTTGCTGTTGAAGCCACTTACTTGAATGCGCAGACGGGCTGCCAGAGACCGGCAGTCCCTTCATAGTTTCATTCCCTATTCGGGGCATGGGTGGATTCACTAGAACAGCCAAGTCAGCGCATGACACTCACTCCAGTACTACATATTGGACATCACATATATGGACACCTCGCTCGCCAATTGGAGCGAATTGTTGATTTGTCATTGTTCTGTGTCTACTCTACCCTGGCCAGAGTCTATCCTCTCTGATCTTCTGTAACAACAGGTCAGCGCCGATTAAGGGTGAAGTGTGTGTGTGTTTGTCGGTCATGTGGCGGATTGCAGCAGGCCGCCGCCGCCGCCCCACCCTCCAGCCGGAGAAGAGGATTCCCCCAGAATGGCTATACAGGCGAGCAGACTCCCAGTACGGTAACAACCGTCCAAGGTAGTTTGCATGGCACGCCAGCCGGCGCGAGCGAGCCGCGACCATAAGGCCTCTCATGGCACCGCGGCCGCCGCCGCACGACAGGTGGTTCGCGGTCCCGCAGGTGCTGCGCTCTGCCGGCGGAGGGGCGGGGCGCGCCACGGAGGCGAGGCGAGTGGAGTCGGGCGCGTCACGTGACCCGAAGGCTGCACGACGAACGGGCGTCGGCCGGCTCGGTAATCTCCGGTCAGCACTCCCGCCGGATCTGTCAGTCGCGTAGTACATGTAGAGGCGAGCGCATTGCGTGGAGTGCCCGAGTGTCGTGTGTTTTTGTTGTCTAAATGTTTATACCAAGTTTTAGTTGTAGGCTCGCTTTCTAACGCGGCGCGAGTTCCAGGATCGAGTGCTCCAGTGTGAAACCCAGTGCGTGCGTGGATGGTGTGATAAACGCCGGCTCAGCGTTGCAGGAGCGAAGAAGTGTTGCCGGAATCCGTCGTCACTGGTGTCTGCAATCATGGCGGAGCCCGACACAAAAGTGGACCGGTCCGATCCGGACCTGAAATATTTGTCAGTGGACAAGTCTGCGTTCAATGATCCGGCTACGCAGGCCGAGTGGACGCAGAAGAGGCTGGTGTGGGTGCCGCACGAGAACCAGGGCTTCGTCTCGGCCGGCATCAAGGGCGAGCGCGGCGATGAGGTCGAGGTGGAGATCGCCGAGACGGGCAAGCGGATTTTCGTCGCCAAGGATGACATCCAGAAGATGAACCCGCCCAAGTTCGACAAAGTGGAGGATATGGCCGAGCTGACTTGCCTGAACGAGGCCTCGGTGCTGCACAACATCAAGGACAGATACTACTCCGGCCTCATCTATGTGAGTATAGGTTAGGTGACGTCGCGCCGGCGTACCGGCCGGGAGGGCCGGGCGGTTATGTTGCACGGGCAGCCCAGCCCAGCCCGTCCCCACCCCAACCGGGCCTCCCAGCCCAGCCCAGCCCGGTATGCCGGTCAGCGCCCCGAGCCGCCGGGGCTGGGCTGGGCTGAGTGAGCTGAGCAGAGCCACCGTGTGCCATTGCCAAGGAATTGCGTCGAGAAAAGGGATTCCACTCGTCCCAGACAATGTTGACGACGGCCCCCAGGCGTGATGCACGGCCGCAGGGCTTAGCCCCGGGTGTGGCTCTGGGGGATCCGTGCTGAGGAATGGGGCTGCCTAAAGTGGATTAAGTTGACAGAGTGTTGGGATTAATAATCTGGCTACAGTCCGGGAAGTGTTGCCTGGGTCCATTCTGCCAGTGAATGGATGGGATAGGGTTGCGGCGAAGCAAATTGCACTCATTTTGCATGCATGCACTGTGTGGCAGTTTGATTTGAGCAACGTTGTTTCACTGTAGCTATAAATGTAAAATTTATTGGGTACAAACTATCCCGCTTAGTAGTTGTTATCTAAGAATATTTATATTCCATTTCAATAGCACGATAGCTGCAGAATTTCCCATTAAAAATGCAATGAATGAACTGTTCCTTTTGTTTTTGGCATTGGTTTCATAGACCATTCCCCAAATGAATGAGCTTGCTGCTAAGAATTTTCACCTATTAAGGACATGGAGCCAGTCAGTTTTCATTATATGTTAAACATCTTTATCTTTACCTAAATTGAATGAATGGGATTGAGATTTGTATGTAATTTATTTCACAACTCAAACAGATGACTATATGAGACCGTATTGCAGAAATGTATTGTCACTTCTATTTTTAGTTCATATGGCCAGTTATCTTTGAGTGCTTGCCATCTGCAATCCACATAGCAACTGTTTTTAGCGTTGTTGGATACCCTATTCCTGCACCTCATTTTTTAAACTATCTTTTTTTTTATTAAGTTGCGTTGTATTGGTCCTCTTAAGCCCCAATGAATGATGGGATGTCCAACATGTATGATTTTGCTTGTGCATTTCCGTCAAACTGCTACTGGTTTTGAGCTGGCCTGTGCCGGGCCCCGGGCCTAGCCGCGCCGCATCTGCGAAGAGCTTTGGCACAATGTGGACATGTTGGTTGTCTCCTTTCTGTGAACTGGCTTGAGAGACAGTGCTGCTCTGTGCCGCTTGGCATCCAGGGCTTGGAATCGAATGGCTGCTGATTCAGACGCTCGTTGCTTGCCTGGCTGGCCGCCTGCCTCGCCCACTGTGTAAACAGTTTTTGTGACGTTGCGAAACAGCCTATGCCGGCCTAAGTAAGTCCTTTACTCAGTTCGGAGATAGAGGGCCTGACGTGGGCGTGGTAGCGCGCTCGCGCTCCCTGTAGGAAGAGATAATGAGAAAGGGGCAGCACTGACTATTTTGAGAGGCTTAAGGCTTCCAATGAAATTAAATGACGCGTATCGTTCGAGAGAGCAACGTCACATGTCCTCTTCAAGTGGAGACTTAAGATGTGTGTTATCGCGTCCTGGATGTTGTGCCAATATCAGGAGTTCTTATTATTTTTCCCATCATACAGCCGCCTGTTTCCCACTATGTCACGAAGGCCGCGGTGAACTGGAAAATCGTGGGAATGGACTAGCATGCCGACAGGTAGTTGGCGGGCACCCTGTTTTTTTTTCTTTTCGTTCGAGTGTGTGGGCGTGTGTGGCCGCGCTTCTGAGGTAACAGCTGAACGATGTCGGTGAGGAGCCCTAGCCCCTCTTCGGCGGCGGTGCCCCAGCCCCAGCGGTGCTCTCCCCGGGCACCAGGGTACCCACCAGACGACCGGGTAGTATACACATACCCAAGACTGCTGCTGCTGCTGCGCCGCACCGCGCCCGCCGCCTGGCGCGGCTCGACACGGCGGGGCGCGGGGCGCGGTGTGCTCACGGCGCAGCGCCGCCTCCTGGTGCCGGTTCACCGGTCGCTACGCTCATGCGACGGGACGCGGTGCGGCGGGACGCTCTGCTGCTCGGTGCGGCGCGGCGGCAGAGGCGCAGCCCGAGTTCATCTTCACTTTCGACGACCAAGGTCGTCTCCTTGCTGCGCCGCGTTGCACCGCGCCCCGGCCGCGCTGCAGCCGCTGCACCGCGGGGCTGCAGGGCCGGCAGCGCCGGCAGGGCGAGGGCCTAGCGCGGCCAGGGCCCGTGGGGCAGGTCAGGCCCCAGGGCCGCGGCCAGTTTGACAACAACGTCGCCGTCGGCGGCCCCTCCGCGATGGTTGTGAAGGCGGCGGTCGTATTTTTAGACGACTTTCTTCTTCAGTTTGGGGTGTCGGCGGCCGCGCCGAGGGCCGCCGCCGTCGGCCCGCCGTCGCTCGCGGCCGGCTCTTTGCAAATATAAACCGAAAACGACGACGACGACACCCTGCTTTGCCTCGGTGCCGCCGCCGCCGCCGGTGTCCGGGCTGCAGGCAGTACATCGCGCAGGGTCTGGGCGCGGGTATTCCCGGGCTGGGGGGCGGGGGCGACGTCGCGTTTGGCTGTGTGGCTGTGTCCCGCGCGAGCTGGCTCGTCGGCCGTTGTCAGGAGGCATTGACGGCCGAGGCGTGCAGTGCAGTCCCACACCCCATCCGGCCTGTATGACGGTGACACCCGACGACATGGACTCCGCCGCCGCCGTCGACTCTAGTTGTTGACGGCCGCGCGCCCGTCGAGCAGGACATGACGCAGGGCATCGCGGCGGCCATGTCGCTGACCCCATGGTCCTGGGCGCACTTACCCAGGAGCAGCACGACGGCCTCTCGTCAGAGGCGCGCACCCACACACACACTGGGTGAAGGCGCTGGAGTCAGGGCTCGGAGGAGAAGTGCAGCAGCTTGTGAGGGCCGCCCTCCGTTTTATTGGGGTCAACTTGTTTGATTGTGTCGCACGCGTGCCGTGTCGACTGCCTGCGTTGCGGGGAGGAGGAGGAGGAGGGGGTGCACCACAGCGCCGCTCGGGTCCCTAATGAGGCCCGCGTATGTCTTTGCATATCGGCCATCAGGTGCCGCCGAGGCGTGACTCTGGCCGCGCCACGCCACGCCACGCCGCGAACATGACACCGTGATCCCCTCGCCCCGACGTGTCTGGCGGGCCCCGCGGGGGGCCGGGCCGGCCGGGCCCTGCCGGGGTGGCTAAGTGTGCGACGCGTGGGTGGGTGGGGAGGGCGGCGCGCGCTAAGTGGTCCACCCGGGGCCCCCTCGGGACGGGTATCGGATTCGCACACACCACCAGGGCCACACGGTCATACCGGCCGCTATGGGGACCTCAACCATGGAGTAAGTAGTAAGTACTTACTCCATGACCTCATCCCGGTGTGGTATGGCAACATGCAGGGCTGCTCGGCGGGTGCGCGGGTACACTTATTGCCGGTCCGCTTCTTGGACTCGAGCAGCGCGCGCACCCGCCAGGTGACTCACCTGCCGAGCTGCCCTTCGCTTTGGCGCGGAAACGCCTCGTTGGCTCGTTGGCGGTGTTCTTCCGTCCGGTTCGCTATTCCGGTCTGCTTGGCCGCCGCGCCGGGCCGGTCGAGCTTCGTCGTGGCGTGCTGCGCGGGCACGGAGGAGTGTGAAGCGCCCAGAGGAAGGTCATTGGCGGCCGCTCCGCGTCCCGGTGACGAGTGGATGAGCGCCGCCGCCGCCGCGCACCTGCTGGCTGCCCCGCGAGAGGAGTCCTGCGCGCACGCAACACGTGCACGTGCGCACGCCCGGGGCGGCCTTCGTGCACGCTTGGGTGCGCTAGCTACCGCGAAGTGCGCGAGCGTGCGCGCGTGCGTAACTGGGATGTTGTTGGGCTCTTCTCTGTGAGTGGTGGAATAAGTTGAGCGTCGTGCGCAGTCAAAGGGGTCGACGACGACGTTCTACAGCCGGGGAGCAAACGTGTCAATGCGGGGCTGACGAGGGGAAGGGTTTGTCAAAGCCGGGGCGGGGCACTGCTCCGCCCCGGCCGAATGGGTGACGTTTCCGCTTCCTCCATAAACAAACACGCTTGTGCCGAGCTTGTGGTGCTGGGCCGCCCCTCTGGCCCCGGGCCAGCCGCCCCGGCGACGCGGCGGGGGGCGACCGAAATGGCAGCTTTTGCGACGGATTCCCCATTGAGGGGCGGCCGGCTCCTCCCGGTTGTCATCGGCGCGGACACGACCTGCCTCACTCTCGCGCTCGGCCCCGCGCCGCCCGTCGTGTTGGGAGGGAAGGAAACCTCTTGACGGGGGAGGCGGGAGGGAGGGAATCCGCTTAGACCCTCGCGCACAAGGCGCGGACACGGGACGACCAGCGCGCCGGCCGGCCGCCGGGGTCGTTGTGGGGCTCCTGGGGCGTCAACACACGCCTGCAACGAGTCCTTGAGCCTCTCTGTGTTCTCGCCGCCATGCCACACCGTATGGCGCGCTGGCGCGGAGGGCTGCCTCTGGCCCCGTTCCTCGCGGGGCGCGCGGGGCGCGGGGTGGGGGGCAGCGGGGTCGCTGATGACGGCACGCCGAGGAGTTTTATGTCCATGTAAGGAGTGTTCCGAAGCGACGCCGCACCGCGCCACGTCACGCCGCGGGGCCCACTGACACACACTCACTCACACACACACGTTATGCGGAGCGGAATGCACACGCTTGGCGCACACAGCATGGCCCTGCCCCGCCACGCCCTACCCGGTCACCTTACGTGATTGCCTGAGAATGGAGTTGAATGGTGCGGCGGCTCCTGCCCGACGGGAGCCCCGGCCGGGACCCGACCTCGTTTCGTCCTCGCCGTGCTGCGGGCCGGGCGGGGCTGAGCGGCCTGGCTCCTGGAACAACAACAACAGCAGCAGTGGCAGCAGCAGCCGACTCGTCTGATAAGGCTGCGCCGTGCACCGGGGCTGCCGTGTGGGGTGGCTCGTGGGAGAGCCGATGGGACCAGCATGTCGTCTACATGACTGTCATGGGGCTTCGGTGTGGGGCGGGGCGCGGCGCGGCGGGTACTGGTAGCAGCAGCGGCGGCGGCGGCGCTCGGCGTGGCCGGCCGGGGACAGACGGTGTCACAGCTACTACGGCGGCTTAGAAAGCGTCGGAGGCGATATGAAATGTAGTACGACGGTCTGCTCCTCCGCGCGCCGCAGCGTCACGACCCCCGGCCCGACCCGGCCCGACCGCGGCTGCAGCTGCTGATGCTGCTGCCGCTGCACTTCCCTCGGATAAGGCGCGTGGCCCCGCCGGCCTGGCCTGGCCTGGTTGTCGGGATTATTGGGGAGTAGTAAAAATACCACTGGTACACTCTTTCCAAAAGCGGTGCGTGTCGTGGTATGAGCGCGGCCCTCGCTGCGCCGCGGCCGTGCCCCTCCAACCTCAACTAGGGTTACGCCCCGGCACGGCTGCCGGCCCGGCCCGGCGCGGTATTAATTTGAAGCCGGAGGTGTTGTTGCCTGTGATTACCGGCGCTGCTGCTGCTGCCGCCGCCGGGCGAGGGGCTTAACGCCGCGTACTGAAGCCTTCCGCTCTGCCCGGACACGTCGGCGTGTGTTATTGGCACGTCGGCGTCGTTATCGGCGGGGAGGGCGGCGGCAGGACGCGGTGCGGTCCCCCCCTTGAGCGGCGGCCCGCGGGGCTCTCTGGGTGCGGGCGGTGATGTCACGCCCTGGGCCGCCCGGCCGGCTGTCCTTGGCCGCGAGGAAGGTCACCGCCGCGAGAGTCCTGGACGGCAGAGAGGATACGTGTGTGTACACGGCACTGCTGGGGCCGGCCGGCCGGCCGACGCGGCGGGAGGTCGGCTCGTACCCGGCATGAGGAGGAGGAGGAGGTGGAGGAGGACTTGAAGGGAGAGAGGAGGCGGGCGAACGGGCTGGCTGGCTGTGTGGCCCCGGTCGTCTTCCTTCTCCGTACGCCGGCGAGAGGGAGAAAATTGAAACCGTTAGCTTGATGGCATGTCGTGTCCGTCTCTCTCTCTCGCTCCTGTCTCCCCGTTTCCTACCTC